CCCCCCCCCCCCCCCCCCCCCCCCCCCCCCCCCCCCCCTCACCACCTGCTGCAGTGGCCACACGAGCAGCGTCTGTCTTTGGATTCACGCCTCTGTGTTTGCGGCCTATTGTTCTGTGATGAATGCGGAATGACAAGATGAATTGTCTGAGGACCTGTTTGGTTCCGCTGTGTCAAGGTGCGGCGAAAGTGACTGCCGCGGTCTGCTGAGGCCCAACGTGGTGTTTTTTGGAGAAACTCTGGACTCCCATATCCTGACCAAGGTGGAAAAAGAGATGGAGACCTGCGACCTCTGTCTGGTGGTGAGAATTCCTCAGTTTCACGTGCATACACGTCCTACTCTTTTCTTGTGCAACCAATAAAACCATATTTGCTCAGGATCTCTCCAGGACTAGACCTGAAAGGAAATGCTGTACATTAAAGCGTTGCTCCCTGTCGTGAACCTATAGGTGGGCACGTCTTCAATCGTGTACCCAGCAGCCATGTTTGGCCCTCAGATTGCATCCAGGGGCATCCCAGTGGCGGAATTCAACACCAAAACAACACCAAAAACTGAGTACTTCATGTAAGTGTAAAAAACACCCATCTAGCTTCTAATGAAGGAAGTCAGCGTGATGATGTCTGAATTACAAATGAAACCAGACCAGCGAGTTATGAAGCACGATCTGATAATATATTGATATTTACTGCCATCCACTGGCAGTGTAAGCATCATCCAGCTGTTCTGACTTCGTTGTGTTTTCTCTCTGTGTGTGTGTGTGTGTGTGTGTGTGTGTGTGTGTGTGTGTGTGTGTCTGTGTCTCTCTCAGGTACCATTTCCAGGGTACGTGTGGAACCACGCTGCCTCCAGCTTTGGCGCGACATGAGTCCGAGGTTCTTTAAGAAGCCTGTTTTTAAAGAGAGTGACTTGACGAACAGCAACCAGTGGCTTCTTCAACACACCAATGTAATCCAGATGTTTGCCTTAAAAACCATTCAGCTGTCGATGCTTGATAGAGGTAAACGTAGAACTTCTTTTAGAATTTGATATGGATCTCTTTATATACTTGAATATACTGTGTAGCTCAATAAACTGGAAATGGGATATTGTAGGTTTTACATGTTGGCTGCTTTGAGTCTGACGCAGTAGCTATACAGCTTTAATACAGAAAGGAATGCACTATGTATGTAGTTAGTGGCATAGGATGCTCTTGTTATTCCACACACACCTTGTGTATTAGATGCTGGTGAGGGAGCGTAATGCTTTGCGGTAGATCAGAACCTATTACTCCTGGTGTCCACGGGGAATCTTCCTCTTTCTCTCTCCACCGAATCAACAGATGTACGTAATATAATCTTATGCCTTTTAAAACTGTTTACACAACCTTGACCAAATGCTCGCTTTACACCTCAGGTGCAAATCAACCAATGTTACAGAGATTTAGTATTTAGTTGAGTGTACGGAGTCTTCTTCTGACCAAGGACAGAG